CCCATCAGTTTCTTTGCTTTGTGTTTGGAAACGTAACAAATGTTTACCTACGAATCAAGTCGACTTAAAGTCACATCGACCTGTGCACCAAGAGAATAAGAGCAAATTTTGAACGCGACTATCCTTGGCATCACCTGTTCAATCCAGGAAGAAGACGCTACGGTGTGGGCTAGATATTCTTCCGCACAGTTTGAACAGGGAGCGGGCAGACACGCATGTAACAATCCGTATGCCGACGAGGTTGACAACGAGGTTTTCAAGGAAATGTCCGTTTCGAAGATTTGGCAGATTTCTTACCAGAACTTCAAGAAGCTCATCAACCCTTCGTTCGCAGGTGTTGAAGAAAAGGAAGACATGGATGCGATCATGGCCAGAACTCATTTGATCGTCATTACCGACAACGGCATCTACCACCGTTTAGCACCAACCTCGAAAGATCCAGTGCCTTTCATTCGGTGGGAAGATGGTATGCCCAAGGATCTTCTTGACCCCTCGCAACAAGCTATCTTCAAAGCGTACAAAATGGACCCGCACTCTAAGATCTACCTGCTCTCTTACCACGAGGACATGGCCTGGTCGCAAGAGTTCTTGCGGAAAGTGCTTAACGGCGAAACGGTTCCACGCACGATGACCGTCATCCATGCAAGCGGTTTTGGTATGCATAGGAGCAGGCTCGTTCCTAAACATATTTTGCATGTGAATATGAAACGCACGGATCTTTTTGTTGGTTGAGTGCTTGTCAATGCATAGCTCTTCCAGGCAAGCTGTACCCGTTCATCCCCGACTTCTGTCCGAAGAACGAGTTCGCGTGAAAGTCAAGCAGGAACAGGTTGCCCACGCATTTCGAAATTTACGGCATTCACACCATGATGTGATTGACCTTGCTTCACCATCTCGGTCACCGAAGAAACCCGACGCAGAAGAATCATCGTCGCCACTCGCAAAGCGTAGCAGAACTTCGGAGCCCATCTATGCCCTCGAACACGGCAGTGGCTATTCCCAATCCTGACTTTTTGGGCACTGTGGTACAATAGCAGACTTTTATGCTGGTTGATGTTTTAAATACGAAATCATGTGAGGTTTTTGTCTCGCTTATTGGGGCGTCTACAAGTTGAT